GGAAAGGTTCTGTGAATGGCAGGTGGTGGTTTAAGAGGCTTTTAACTGAGGTGGCGCAGTCGAGGACATCGGGGTGAATGTTTTCTACCCGTGTTCCTTACAGGAGGTGAAATAACAGACCCACCTCTGGGTAGGCAGAGCAGGGAGCTGTTATGCAGGGCTCCTCCTAGCCTCTGAGTACCTGGGCTGAGAACAGATGTCAGGGGCAACTGAAAAATTGCATCTCAAATGTGAAGCAGTTCAGACTTGAGTGAGATAATCAGAGTTGTAACTGCAAAAGGGCCTTGAGGGAAGGAGAGGTTCACTTCTCTTCAAGTGGTGCACTGATTCATTTGTCTCTTCCTTCTAGAGAGAAGCTGAAACAGCTGATTGAGAAGAGGATTGGCAGGGAGAACTTCATTGAGAAGCTTGGCTTCATTAGCAAACATGAACTTTATTCCAGAGCTGCTCAGAAGCCACAGCCTAGTTTTTCTAGCCCAGACCACATGATGTTTGATCATGAATTTACCAAGCTCGTGAAGGAATTGGAAGGTGAGATGTTATGCTCATTTCTGTAGTTTATTGTGATGAACTGGGACTGAACTACCATATGTGCTGAAGGTAACCCTCGTAGTAGTGTGATGATAATAAAAGGGAGTGTTCTGAAAAACATGCTACAGGAATAGCTGTGAGTAATCACATGTCCAAGCTTGCAGTTGAAGTATGGAATAAAAATACTCTCAGTACTCAGCCCATAATCAGGGCTAGTACTAACTGGAAGACTTGATACTCTTAGGTGATGTGATTCTCACTGTGCTGTGAGTTCCCACGCTGTGGCCAAGGGGTGTGTTTACCTGTGCTTGCGTAGAGACTGAAGTAGGGAGAAAATGCAGTGATCCTACAGGATTGACTTCTGGAAGTACATTGTCTAGATATTTGCTGTTTCTAAATGATTCATTAAGTAAAATTAAGAATGCAGAATCTCCTGACTTTTAGAAACAGATAGGGACTTTGTTTAGTAATTTCTGTCCTTCACAAAAGAGACAGGTTGTCATCATCCCTAACTTCTAACTAATGTCCTGTTTATTAATGTTGCCCAACTTAAATCAGTCTGGAGAAGGAGGAGACCTTGAAGCAGCAACAGTAAATCTGGCTCTGCTGAATCATGTTTCACCTGCACGTTGCTTTTGCAGTCCTGAGTCTGCCAGTTACTTGCAGAACCGCTTGGGCAGTGGTTGCAGAGGAGCCCTAATGGAGCTAAAACACCCCATCCCTCACAGAAAGGACTCAAAACTCCCATTTGCTTTTTAGAAGCTATAAAGCAGTGAGTGTGCCAACATGGCTGTAAAAAAATTACCATTTCCTATTTTCTTAAACCTCTTTGTGACAGTTGCTTTTTTTAAAAAGTTCAGGTTGAGTTGGTAATGCCATGAACTCAGTTAAACTGGGGGAGGCTGTGAGATTGTTCTGAAGACAGGAAGGATGGGTGAACTGGCCTTCACTTCACAGAAACTGTTTTTTACAGGTGTTATAAGTAAAGCTATTTACAAGTCCAGTGAGGAAGATAAAAAGGAGGAGGAGGTCAAGAAGACATTGGAGCAGCATGACAACATTGTGACTCACTACAAAAAAGTCATTAGAGAGCAGGTAAGAGGGAGTCAGGCTGCAGTGTGCCTCCAGAAGGGGTTTGTTCTGGCTCTCTGGCGGTGCAGTTCCATACCCGATGTTCCCAAACAAGTAACAAGGAACCTAGCGATGCAGAGACAGTTTTGAAAGCCTCTAAGCCAAGTTCTAGTTCAACTGAAATGTCAAGTGTTTAGAATTCTGGTTCAGTTCAATTCTCCTGGGGTACACATGATATTTCTTGTGCTCAAGTGTTTCTTACCAAATGAGAAACTGGAGAGCTTGCAGCCCTTCGCAGAGATGCATTTGAGTTCTGTGCTCTCGCCTTTTAAAAGATGAGAGATGAAATGTGGCTGAAGGAAGAAATGAAGTTTCTCAGTCAAGTTTGAACATACCAGCTATGGTTGGATTCTCAAGATGGTTTTTTTTGAACAGAAGTACACTTGTGTTGTTGCCACAGCTCAGACAGACGAGTAACAAAGTTATTTACCTTAAATAGCTGATGGAAACCTGAAGCAGGTGGTTTTAGTTCAGGGATCTGGAACAGACACAGAATATAGTGGTGCACGTGGAATTAAGGGGTGCTTTTGAACTGGCAGTGAGGCTTTATTGAACATGTGATGACTGATAATTACCATGACTTCTATAAAGACTCCTGAAGTGGACCGAATGGGTGCAGCCTGCAGTGTGATAGAGAAAAATTACACTTGTAAGATGTCATCTATTTCCTTTCTAATGCCTGCTGCTGTCCCTGGTGTCATCTGTCACAGGTAGCACTGATTGTGTCACTAAATAATAGTGTGGAATGGTGGAGTCAAGGTTTTTCTGTCCTGATTTGCCTTCCTGACAGTATCGTATTGAAAACTGTTGTTACTCCAAGTGCCTTTTTTCCCTTTCACAGGACCAGGAGCTTGAAGAACTAAAACAACGAATTAACACTTTAACATCTCAAAATGAACAGCTCCAAACAACAGTTACACAGCAAGTGTCGCAGATCCAGCAGCATAAGGACCAGTATAACCTCCTTAAAGTACAGCTAGGTAGGTTTCAGAAAGAATAATAAAAAAAAATGTTGCTAGGGCTAAGATCTTGTGTGATGTATGGCAAGCTACAAAACAGCTCCAGCAGACAACCTTCTGTCTCTTGAGGCATGTGTGTTGTAGGTTCTGCACCATATGAGAACTTCCCGTAGAGATAAAATAAATGTGTTCAAGTTGATGTTGAGCATGACCAACAATTTTGTTGAAGCATTAGGTTTGCTTCGTTTTCTAAAATACTAGGTTTTGCTTTAAGTGCCTTTAAACTTACAGAATAAAGCCAAGTGAGAACTGAGAGGACAGCATGAAAATGTGATTGAGGTATCAGTTCTTCTTGCTTTGTGCTTAAATTTTGGGTCTCTTTAAAAAATAGTAGTGTTTTCTGCAAGATGTGTTTGAGCACTTGAGCTAGGGCCCGTCTGCCATGTACAGCTACTCGTGGGGAGAATGACCACCTGAAGAAGATGGTCATAGACCAGACAGTTCAGTTAAATGGACACATGGAAATACTGAGCTTAGCCATAGCTTTGGACCTGATCGCGGTTGTGCTTTGCTTGCCCACAATGAAAAGTAAAGCCCTTGCTTGCCATGACTACCTATGTGAAGGAAAGGCAATTTAGAGCTCTTCATTCAGCTTTTGATAGAAAATTCTTCAATACTTTGCTTTGGTTCTTGAGTTAGAATGGCTTGCATTGCCCCGCGGGGTGGGAGAAGAATGGGCTATAAATACTTTAATGGCTGTGTTCAAAGCAATCTTCTAAGTTGTGTTGGTGAGCTTTGTTACCAAATCTGCCTTTTAGGAAAGGACACTCAGCACCATAATTCCCACAGCGAGACGTTTCAGATGAACGGCGTTCAGATGGAAGAAGTGAGCAAATTGAAAGAGGAGTTGGAAGAATGGAAAAACAAGTATGAACTGCTGCAGGGGCAGTTAAGGGAGAAGGATTCTGTGATTGAAAGAACGGTAAGGGCTGCCTCAGCAGTACTTGATGCACCTTCCAATTCCTGTTTTCCCATGTAATTTGCCTTCAGCTGTCTAAGTCCCCACTATGATGGAAGTCAAGCAATCTTAATGGATTGCGTGCTGATGACGGGAAATATGGTGGGAGATGGCTGGAGCAAAGTCTTTTGCCTTTGACACTGTTCCCAAGAGTAATGTGTGCAGCTGACCTGTTGTACTGTACATCAGTGGTTTTGAGTGGGGAAAAAATGGTGAGGTGTCTCCTAGGAGCTTTGTGGGGTTATGTCCAAGACACAGTCATGGTGGTCTAAGTGGGGAAAAAATGGTGAGGTGTCTCCTAGGTGCTTTGTGGGGTTATGCCCAAGACACAGTGATGGTGGTCTGCTCGTCAAAATGCAGAATGACACATGCTGCTTACTTTGTGCATATCTTCTGCATTGGAATTAGTGGAAGATACTTTTGCGTCCTCCTTAGAGGAGACCATGGAGCTGCCCCCCTGTCGTGGAAGACCTTTAAAAGATGTCTGCCTTACCCTGCTTGCACCTCCTTTGCTGGGAACTTGGGTCATGCGAGCACGCAGTTGGCTGTGTTCTGACAACGTGACTGTTGAGTCTGTCTAGTTCTCTGGCTGATTTTCCTCTTGCTATTTCAGAAGTCTTCACAGTTGGAAATGGGAACAACAGAGCAGTCTTCACAGACCAGCAAATCTGGTGGCTTGGAGCACAACCATGAACTACAGAAGGTGAACTTGGGGTATTTCAGCAAAGCTGCGGAGAAGAGTGATAGCTTGGGATAGGAGGGAGCTTTGTCAGACTTCAGGGAGCAGCATGAACTCCTGAGCATGTTGATGTTTATAGTGGTGTGCTTTTATGTGATGCTGGTACTAATCTTGGAGCATCAAGATGATGGGTACAAACATGAATCAGTTATTGTGAAGCAGGTTTGACCAGCAGAACATGCTTCAGCTGCCCCTTCAGGCTTCCAAAATCTGTTTATCCATTGCAAAACATAACTTTAAATGTTGATTTGAAAGCTTCCAGGTATTAGATGTACAGCAAAAAGTAAAAGATGAAATATCTGCCAGTTGAGTAATTTAAGGTAGCTGTTGCTCAGAAAATCCCTAGCAGAGTTTGTGTGATTAGAGAACTAGCAGTGCCTGGATTGATAAGTCGTAATGGGTTTTGGCCCCAAGAAAGGTAACACGGGGAGGATGCTAATGGGAGTGCTGGTGGTGTGAAACACCTTAAAACGCACCTGAGGCTCCTATAGGAGCCTTGATTGGGCATTCCACAGAGAAGAGTTGATACCAGCAGGGCAGAAAACGGCGCATGTTCCTGAGGGGCTTCGCCTCCTGGAGAAACGGCTGCAGTGCTCTCATGGAGAGATGGATGCAGCTTTCCTCTCCCGGAGGAGCGTATGAAGCACTCAGTCTGGTAGCATTTACCCTAAGACTAATTTAATGTGAAGAACTCCCTCGCTTTATCAAATGGTCTTAAGAGTATGTTTTGCTTTTGCTTCCCAAAGGAACTGGAAATGCTCAGGAGTCAGATGCAACTACAGTCTGCGGAAATCACCAAGCTTCAGATGGAGAATCAAAAGCTACAAGTAATGGTATCGGTCAAAAAGTTCCTTATTTTCTCTTTGGGGATGGAATCTTAAAGACTTGGCTTTCCTGCTTATGCTGTCTGTAGCTTGTGTACTACACCAAGCCTGTTGTACGAATACTC